TTTAAAATTTACACTTAATCTATTAATAAAGTTTATTGGAGCAAGACTCCGTTGGATATAAAAAAAAAAAAAAATGTCATAAATACCAGATCATGTGATCCATCTATAGCTACCAATTATATATTACTAGCTAATAATTGTTTCTAAGTAATGTTATTTATAATGTAATATTACATATCAATTATACTAGTTGTTGTGTTACAAGCATATATGCCTTGGTAATTTTATTGAGGATGCCTGGAGCACCTAGCTGCAGATCATCAACCTCACCCTCATGCCAATCACACAAGGTACAACCTTGCAAATGAACTTTTTACAGTTGTAATGGTTCCCATAACTTCATTCAAAATGAATGAATACACAAAAGATGAGGAAGATTTTGAAATTTTTGTTTTCTGACTAATTTATTTAAAAAAAAAATAAAAATAAAAAATATTTATTTCTCTGGACTCCATTTTCTAGTATGCATAATGTCTTTATAGAATCTTAATAACTCTGAAAACCTGTAAATTATTATGTGGGCACGATGCAACAAAACCAAACAAAAGGTGAACATAATGCCACGAACAATTTTCAAGGGTTAAATTACTAGACGCCACAATAACGTCATCATTTATTTTCGTTGTTTCTTGCTTCAAAAGTATTTTAATCATTCAATAATAATTTTATTAAATTTATGTTGTCAGAATAAACAAGAATAACATTTTTGATTAATAAAATGACACGATATGATATTTACAATTTTAGAATGTTTGTAAAATGAATCTGACCCTTTACTTTCTCGTTTATAAAGAATTAATGTCAAAGTATTATTATTGACTTTTAATACCTTAACTTAGTGCTTAAAGGTTAGGAAGCGAGTAAATTAGTCAACCTGATTAATCAACTCGACGAAAATCAAATCAACAATTTGAACCCCTGAAATTTGATCGTGGCGTTATGTTCATTTGCTTTATTATTTATAATTCCGTTCTTTATTAGATCGACAAATGGTCATTGAATAAAGAAATACAAGAAAAATACTTGTCACGTTCAAAATTTAATAATCTAAAGTTTTAATTTAATTTATCTCATGTCAGATGAAAACATTTTAATTATATTTGGGTTAGAGGTTCCCAAAAATAATGGTACCTCAAACTCAAACATGCTTATTGTATTCCGCCAATAGATTTCCTTTCTTTTTTTTTAAAAAAAAAAAAGTGACGAAATTTTTCATATGATGTTTTTTTCTCCCTCACTAAGAAAAGTGCATTAAAAAATGACACACCCGACGCTACAAAGAAATTCATATCAACCAACAACTTATTATCAAGATTCTCTTGCAACTACCTCATCTCGACCAATACAACCACCACAACCAGTTCAAAATCTTCCAGGTTCCTTTCCAACTAGAAACGCATATCCACATCCTTCACTTCCCGATACTCAGTCTTTACCTCATTACCAACTTTCTTCACATCAATACCAAAATACACATTCTCATGGACCATCTGCACAACAAACGTCACCACAACCGGTTCCCTATATTCCAGAAATGGCTGGAGCTAGAGGATCGCGACAGGATGCAAAAGGTGTACTTAAAAAAGAAATGTACGAATATAGGGCACCTTGGCCCGTATATGGATTAGATTGGTCCAAACGTCCTGGCGAAAAAGCTTTTAGACTTGCGTTAGGAAGTTTCATCGAAGATTATGCTAATAAAGTTTGTATTTTATAACTCATTCATTTTATATTTTTCGTAAAAATAATACTTCCATATAAATATTATCTATCTCCATAAATTTATCTATTTTCTATAATTAAAATTTTTATGGAAATCTTTTTTTAAAAGCTTCAAATTATTACATTAGCTGAGTTAGCATACGATAATCCCTATAATCGTGTTTCCAATGTTGACTTCGTTAAAGTAGCTGAAATCGATCAAGATTATCCTATTACCAAAGTTTTATGGGAACCTTATAAGGTTTGATAATAAATATAATGTTTGAACTATAATTTATAATTTATTTTAAAATAATTCACGCTTTAAATACATTTTGGAAAATATTGATAGGACAGCTTAAAAACTCCGGATTTATTGGCAACAGCTGGAGATTATTTACGATTATGGGAAGTAATTGACGATGTAGGAAATCAAAGTAATACAATTGGAGCAAACAATTATACTGGTTTCAGACCTCAACGATTGATACATAAAACTTTGTTGACTAATGTAAGAAAATTAAAAAGTTTTTATATAAATATTATATCATCTCGAAAGAAAGAATTTTAAGATTAGAAAATATACAAAAATTTTTTAAATAGACTAAGGCTGATTTCAACGCTCCATTAACATCTTTTGATTGGAATGAAACTGATCCATCATTGGCTGTTACTTCTAGCATCGACACAACTTGTACTGTGTGGAATATTGAAACGAGACAAGCAAAAACTCAATTGATCGCTCATGATCGCGAAGTTTATGACGTTGCTTTTGTTTCAGGAACTACGGAAGTATTTGCTAGTGTTGGTGCTGATGGTAGCGTTAGGATGTTTGATCTAAGGTCTGTTCATTAACGATACAATCCAAAAATAATTCTGCACAGAATAAAATTTTCACGAGTGATATTTAATTAGTAACATTTATTGAGTATTTATCAATCTTATATTTTCAAATTAAATATATTAGAAATCTCGAACATTCCACCATCATTTACGAAACAGTGATGCCACATCACTCTCAAACTAGCATATCTCATCCCCCACAACCTTCACCTCTTCTCCGGTTATGTTTTAACAAAATCGATCCTAATTATTTAGCCACTTTCCATATGGACTCTACGGATGTTCAAATATTGGATGTTAGAGTTCCTGGTGTACCTGTTGCGGAATTAAAAGGTCATTCAGGGACAGTAAATTGTGTTAATTGGGCTCCTAATCATAGTGGATTTCTATGTAGTGGAGGTAAACGTAACATAACATTCATTCATTAATTTTTTTTTTTTTAAATTTAAAATTTATTTAATTATATATTTATTTTAATTTCTTTATAGGTGATGACTCTCAAGTTCTTGTATGGGATGTTTCTGGCATGTCAACTCATAATTCTGGACTTCCTAATAATTATAATAGATATAATCATAACCAAGATCCTCTCTTGGCTTATAAAGCTAATAACGAAATTAGTCAATTAAGTTGGAGTACGAGGTGTCCAGATTGGGTGGCAATTGGATTTGGAAGTACTGTGCAAGCATTGAAAGTGTAATAACATTTGATCATGATTATTTTATTCAACAGGATTACATGTTATATGAAGATAATAAGATAATTAACCACGCAATGTAAAAATCAAAACCATAAATTCCATAAATTGTTATTTATAAATAATAAAATAACCCTTTTTTTTTTTTTGTTTTATTCTTACCAAAAAGAACAGAAATAACTTAATAAAATATTTACAAAATATTTTTTATTCCCCCATACGTGAAGTTACATGTGTACGTGTTGACATGTTGTACGTATGTGTACGCGAGGTTATATGTGTACTATTTTGTGAAACAAATATTCCCGATCATATAACTAAATTGGTATAATTTTAATAACTCGACTATTACATAACGATATTCGGAATTTTGATTTATTTGCTAAATTAAAATTACACTTTAAATGCCAATAAATTATTGTGATGTATTGCAATGTAATTTATCGTAAAAAAAAGTTCTCTATTTCATGCATAATATTGTAAAGATGTCTTTTTCCTTGCCATTACTTCCTGAATACCTGTATAACAATGAAAAAAAGAAAAAGGAAAAGAGAATACATGTTAAATATAGAATAAATTGAAATTCTTAAATAATTTAACTCACCATCCATGAAATCTTCATGACTCAATTCGGTTGCACCTCTTCTTAAAGCCAGCATACCAGCTTCTACACAAACAGCTTTACATTGAGCACCATTAAATTCATCACAACAACGTGCCAATTCCTCATAATTTACAGTTTCGCTAACAGTCATTTTACGTGAATGAATCTGGAGAATACGCGCACGCGCTTCTTCATTTGGAAGTGGAAATTCTATTTTACGATCTAAACGCCCTGAACGTAAAAGAGCTGGATCCAAAATATCAATACGATTTGTGGCAGCAATTACCTAATAAAAAATTAAACCACCAAAAATTTATTTATTTAAAAAATAAAATAAAATAAAATAAAATAAAATAATTAAATTACATACTTTGATCCTTTCATCACTGCTAAACCCATCAAGTTGATTTAACAATTCCAACATGGTTCTTTGTACCTCACGATCACCACTTTTTTCGCTATCAAACCGTTTTGTTCCTATAGCATCCAATTCATCTATGAAAATAATAGCAGGAGCCTTTTCTTTGGCTAAATTGAAAGCGTCACGCACAAGTTTGGCACCATCACCAATAAACATCTAAGGAAAAAAAAAAGAGGGAACTAAATTTAGGTTTTCTTAATAACTTGTAGTTTTTATCAAATGACACGGTATTCTATTCACCTGAACGAGTTGAGGACCTGCTAGTTTTAAATATGTAGATTGTGTTTGAGCAGCACAAGCTCTAGCCAATAGAGTTTTACCAGTTCCAGGTGGACCATACATTAATACACCTTAAAATTTTAATTTTTAATTTAATTTAAATTAATTATATAAAATTGTATTTCGAGAATAAATTATTTTTTTTTTTAAAAAAAATAAAAATGAAAATGAAAAAAACCTTTAGGTGGTTTGATACCCAAATTCTTAAATTTATCCGCATGGGTCATAGGCAACACAATTGCCTCAACTAATTCTTCGATTTGTTTATCTAAACCACCAACATCATTATAATCTTCCGCAGGTTTTTCATCAACTTCCATAGCTTTGACACGAGAATCATATCTAGAATAATAAAAAAAACGATTATAAAAAATAATAAAATTTAACATTTAATTATTTAATTTATTTAATTTACTTACTCGGCGGGTAATGTATCTAAAACTAAATAACTATCTTTATTGACACCAATTAAATCACTAGGTTTTAAAGTAGCCGGATCCACAAGTCCAATTAACGGCAAGAAAATTGTCTAATGAAATAATAATTATGATGATATTATGTACAGTATGCATAAAATGTATATTAAATGTATATTTAAATGTATATTAACGAATCCGTCATTACCTGTCGTGTAGATGTCTTAATCACTGCACATTTACCTTTTCGATGAGCGTCAAGATCTATATTTGCACCATCTTCTTCTGGTTCATCATTAGGATCCATATCAAGCAACTGGAACACAAAAAAAAATTGTTTTCAAATAAATTATGAATCAAGTCAATGATTTAAATGTTATATTAAAATACTTTTCCAACTCACCTCAACTACATTTCCCACAAGATACGGTAATTGTTTGTTAACCTTTATCTTTTCTTTGTTATCCTTTATTTTTTCTTTCATCGAATTTTGTTCGTGTGATAATCGCATATGTTCGGATTTCATAGCCTATTTAAAAATAAAATTAATATAATTTTTACTTCTTGTAATAATTTATCCATTCATTAGCAGTAAATACATGAATTCTTGAGAAAATTCGAGCAAAAATTCGTGATCGCCGAAAATAAAAGCCGTTAACGAATAAAAAAAATTTACCTTAATTTCGTTATCAAGCATTTTCGTGCGATTATTAATTTCTTCTGGAGTGGACTTTAGAATCTCTTGACCGAGATCTTCAAGTCCTTCTTCCTCAGATTGTAGCCAAATCGCCTTATCTTCTAGAGTATTCATAATTGAAGCTCAAAGTAAAATGTCGAATTCGTTTCGAACACTAAATGTTTTTTTTTTTTTTATTTTTATGTCACGCCCTATCGTTATGAGCAACAATTAGCTAAACCATCACGTATATGTAGGCATCACTCGGGTGCGTAATTCGTAACGTAATGTCCATTGAAAAACAACCATGTGACCTTCAATTAACGACTGCGCGTTTCTTATATAAATCGCTAATTGGTTAACCTTATTTTATTAATTATAATTATGCTTATATATTTCATTCTCCTTTATTAGAAATATACAATATAGCAATTTAATAATCGCATAATCGCATAAGTCCACATCCACATCCCTCATGAATTTTCTACTCCTCAAGCAACCAAAGAAAAATAAAAATATTAACCTATAATTTTTTATAAACTTGTTTGACTATTATTTTAGTTGGTGATATTTGTGACAAGTGATCAGAAAATTTTTTACTTGGAATTTTGCCTGTCGATCACGCGACATTCGCAAATAATATAAAAAGTCATGTGATACAAATATTAACCAATTATTTAATGAGAAAACTTAAACTAGACCCCAGGGTTTAGGTCATTTATTCTAGACCCCCGGAGTTTAGGTCATTTTGTCTAGA